AAGTAAAATGTTCTTAGATAAACAATGTAACTGTTGTTTGTTTTACTAAATAGACAAGAATTAATTTATTGCACATTTAATATTAATTTTATAGAAGTATAAAAAAAATGTTTTTTAAATCATTAGATTAATGCACTTTTTATTAAAAAAAATATAATATTTCTGACTTATGAAATATATCTACAATGTTACGTAATTTATAAAACAAATTTCAATACCGTAATTTTAATTACATTTTCTCTATAAAGTTTTTGAATAAATAATGCATTCAATTTAAAAAAAAAGGTATACACTCATTTACATTCTACACTCTAGACGAACTTGTTGATGGAGAGATTTTTCCACAAGTCTTTACAATTTTACTAGGGAAGTCAGAGGACATTAATACAACATTCTCTACACTATTGAAGACTGCTAACACCCAACGTCAGATTCACCTGAACCCAACAACTTCCTTTTTTTGATAACGAAGCTGTTGTCTAGAATTCTGCCAGATCAGCCTTTCCATGAATCAATATTAAAGGTTGTTTTTCCAATATTCCCAGTGTCTTTGCCATAAAGTGTAGTCAACAGGACTCGTCACCAACTATAAAGAAGAACCAGACTTCCATAAAAAAAAAGATGTGGTATGATTGCCAATGAGACAACTCTCCATAAAAGACTAAATGACACAGAAATTAACAACTATAGGTCACAATACGGCCTTCAACAATGAGCAAAGCCCATACAGCAGAGTCAGCTTTAAATGCCCCATATGAAAAATGTAAAACAATTCAAACTAGAAAAACTAACGACCTAATTTATGTACAAAATAATGAACGAAAAACAAATGTGTTACACAGTAACAAACGACAACCACTGAATTACAGGCTCCTGACTTGGGACAGACACATACAGAACGTGGCGGGGTTAAACTTTTTTAAAGGCGACAATCCTACCACTAACCTGGGACAGTGTTGTAACAGTACAACATAAGAATAAACTAAAAAAATAAGTTGAAAAAGGCTTTTAACTCATCAGATGAGTACAGACAGAAATACATCTAACAAATCACAGAGTGGACATGGACGTGGACGGCTACTTATACATCCCCACAACAAAGACACTTATTACAGATCTTAGAGTACTCGCAGTTACTGACAGCTAGTTCAAAGCCAATAAAAACTAACTAAAAAAATCATGCATCTAAGACTAAAATTTTATGACTTCATATTATATTCCATGTTTGATGATACTTCAATTGTACCTACTACATGTATGTGCAAAATATAATATGTAAGTATTATTATTTGTTCATGGTTTTTTTCATATTTTATTAGTTACAGTGATTAGTAACTGCTACACACTATAAAAACAAATTAATCACTATCAAAACAATTCCCAATTGTCCCACATTTAAACTTCCCAATTGTCCCACAAACATATTCCCGATTGTCCCACTAAATTTCATTACTTTTTTACCTGTAATTTTAAAAAGTGGGACAATCGGGAAGACACCATCCATACACAATGAAAATAACCAACGATTAAAAAAAATACAAAATAGATTACAAAACATATAATAAAAAGTGATAAGAAATATTTTATAGAGAGTACAAATAAGTAATTGCAAACTTCAGTGCAATAGAATTTGAAATAAATACTTTTTTGACGAACTCAGTTGAAATTCGAAAAAATGCAGAACTAGTAAGAATAGCATTGTCATGTTTTGACATTTTATATCTTAAGTCATTTACCCAAATCATCTTTGCATTTAGCCTATTGAGGTGAAAAACAAGATACATAATAGACTAAAAACGAAAGTGAATTGTTCGATAATCAAGATATTTCTGATTCAAATTTCGTCCACAAAGTATTTTCTGTTCATTTAGGTATCCCCAAACTGATGAAAATTATTCGATAGATCGTACTAACAACACATTGTAAAATTAACATAATTATAATAAACCTTTAAAAGCTACTTATGTCCTTTTCTATAATGACATATTTGAATATTGAATTTGATTTCACAATAAATAATTCACACTTGAGTTGGATAAGATTGTACTCACTTGTAAAAGAGCAATACACAGAATTAAAAATATATCGACTGCATAACAAAAGGTTTTCAGTTAAAACCACCTCTTGGTATCAACCGTCTCGGCGTTAACTTAACAAAATTTGCCTTTCACCGATCATCAGAAACCAAATCAGGGTCACAATGATCCTAGAATTCCTTTTTTTTTAATTTCCGAAGAATATGCATTATAGAGGAACACCATAGTAAAGAACAATCATATTTGTTTTTCGTAAATTGTTTTGTTTTAGATTAGGCCGTTTGTAATCTCAATAGAATTGTTTCATATTTTTCTAAATATTTAAAGGTAACGGTCAATCAGCACAATATATTACAGGTACTGTCTCAAAACAGTAAAAGGTAGTAAAATAACGATCACATCACAAAATAGTAAAGAAACGGTCATAAGCACAAAATATTATTGGTATAAACGGTCTAAAAAACAAATAGTAAGGAATGATCACAACAAAAATATTAAAGACTACGGTAAAAAGGTACACAATAGTAAAGTAACTGTCACGAAGCAAAAAAGTAAAGGTAATGGTCAAAATACAGACACAACTAAAGGTAACGACCAAAGTCGCACCTTAGTAAAGTAAGGGTCAAATGGAACGCCATAGTAAAGAAACAGTTAAAATGAATACCATAGTAAAGAAACGATCAAAATGCACATCATAGTAAAGGAACACCATAGTAAAGAACCAGTTAAGAGGAACACCATAGTAAAGAAACGGTTAAACGTCACACCATAGTAAAGTAACGGTCAAAAGGAACACCATAATAAGGAAACAGTCAAAAGGCACACCATAGTAATGGAACGATCAAAAGGAACCAAAGTAAAGTAAAGATCACAAAACACAAATATTATCTAAATGAAAGATTTATTTAGATACCCAAACCGCCATTAAATATGACCAAAACCTAGATGCTCGAAATTAAAAGTGCCAATAAAAATATTAGAGTAGGATGTGCAATGGGATCTAAGCATATTCATTGAAGACTTATAATCGCACCGTACAAAATTACCACCACAGTTGCTTGATATAAACAATTTCCAAACATTGGAATAAAATCCTGTAAAAGGCCAAATGATAAAATGGTGTGTCTGAACTGTACTATACATGTTTAACCCCGCCGCATTTTTGTGCCTGTCCCTAGTCAGAAACCTCTGGCCTTTGTTAATCTTGTATGTTTTTTTAATTTTGGTTCGTTTATATGTTTCGGAGTTTAATGTGACGTCCATTTTCGCTGGACTAGTATACATTATTGTTAAGGGGCCAGCTGAATCCCACCTCCGGGTGTGCGATTTTCTCGCTGTGTTGAAGACCCATTGGTGGCCTTGGGCTGTTTTATTCTCTTTGGTCGGGTTGTTGTCTCTTTGACACATTCCCCGTTTCCATTCTCAATTTTATTCTCGTCAAAATTTAAGGCGGATGAATCCAATGGTGATCAAACCTGGAAGCCTCACTCTAAGATAACCTATTTTTTTCCAAATTCTAATCATATTATTTACAGTGTTTCAACTTTACATAACCAGTAAATAAATATCTTACATGTGACAAAAAAACCCATTTGAGAATAAACTATGTATAGAAAATAACCAATTGTTTCAAAGTCACGATAGGGTTCCACTTCATATAGCAGAAGGTCTATTTATATTTTGTACACAGGTATATCGTTTATTATTGTATTATCATTTTGAACAAATGTTGATGCTTTGCTATCTGAAATAAAGGTCAGTATTATTATTTTTTATTGTATAAACTCTAAACATGGATTAAATAATTTCAAAATTTACACGAATTTACTTGTTATTATTACAACTGTACTAGTGTTATTTTGTTAAGAATTCACTATCATTAATTAATTTTAATTTATCAGATTGCAAATTTTTTGGTGGGGTATTTTTTACTTTTTAAATTTTTTTCATTTTGTGATTTTTTGGGGGTTTTTTTGGCGCCAAAGTTTTTAATTTCCGTCGTGAATATTCAGGTATCTTGACAGCACTAAGTTTTTTCCCAGAGAGTTTAATAAGTGAGTGGTAAAATACTTACAAAAATTCTCTGAGTGTAAATAGAGAAATAAAGAGGGAGAACATGATTTATTTACTAGTTGTAATTGGTTTTGAATTATCTTTCAGTAACTGCGAGTACTCTTATTTCGGTGCTTTCTGTCTATTGTTTTTATGTTAGCGTTTTTTATTTTGCCTGCCTCGTATCGATCTTTTGAATTAAACCAATTGCAGCTGATTTGTACTGTTTGCTCTTATGTTGTGCTGTTACACCACTGTCCCAGGTTAGGGGTTGAGCGCTTACAAACTGTTTAACCCCATCATACTCTACATAGGCCTGTCCCAAGTCCGGATCCTGTAGTATAGTGGTTGTCGTTGATTCATGGTTGTCCATTTGCTTTTCGTAAATTGCTTTGTTATGAATAAGGGCGTTAGTATTCTCGTTTGAATTGCTTCACATTGTTTCACATTTTTCATGTCGGAACCGTTTATAGTCGACTATATGGTATGAGTTTTTCTCATTATTGATGGCTTATAATTGCTTACTACCACTTCATTTAAACTCAGGTGGACAGTTGTCTCATTGGCAATCATACCACTTCTCCTCATTTTATACAATATTATTTTTAACTAATAAGCGTTTTGCACATGTTTAAAATGTGCCAGACAGAATATAAAAATGAGAAGAAAAAAGGATATAAATTCAACTATCGTATAAAACTTTTAGTTATTTAATTATTCAAATAGATAGAACTCTTACACACTATGAGTAACTGACAATTATAGAGAATGTAAAGAGACACATATATTAATAAGCGTTTTGCAGATGTGGACATGTTTCTTTACAATTCGGTCAATCGATTCATCAAAAATACTATAAAAAAGTATAAATTTGACAAAATATAATGTAAGGTTTTCTATCGTTTCATTTAGCGTTACAATGTGGTTACAAATATGGTTGGTTGTAAGTACTTCGTTACTACATGCCGAATCAGCGGGCTTAACTAGCGAAGAAATATCTAAATTCTCTGTCTCTGGAAAGTACGAGGCCACAGTAACAGTGGACCAGTCCAACTCAGAATAGTAGGTATTTCTATTAACATTTAACTAATCACATAACACAGACACACCCGTACTACCATCCAGAAGTGACAAAAAGGATTACACAATTTGACAATAAATAGAGATAATTAAATCTTAAATTTGTTGCAACAGAGTTAAGCAGAAAAGAAAAAAAAACACCCTTAAAATAAGTAAACAGGATTAAAATAAGCACTGAAAACAAATGTAACTCCGCCTAAACATTAAAATGGATTTTTTACCGACTGAAGACACCACAGGTTTTTTGCAATTATTCTTTCTTTAGTTGGTATTAATTCAAATTCACTGTCAATTTCATACTTTGAGCTTTATAAAGGGTCGCAGTTTAATCGTCTAATATCATAATCATAATTGATTGTCGATTTAACTTAATTTACATCAATTTATCACCATTAGATTAACATTTTTCTTGAATTTATCTTTACTTACAACAATTTATCACCATTAGATTAAATATTTTTCTTGAATTTATCTTTACTTACAACAATCTATCACCATTAGATTATATTTTTTTCTTGAATTTATTACATTTTTAGTTTCCTGATAACAGCATCAGGAATACCAGATCATCCTTGGGAAATTGTGAATCCAAACACTCCGATAAACCAAAACTACAATATAAAGATTCCTAAAACACCAACAGTATCACCTAATAAAGCATGTGTACCATTCGGAAAGATTGGACTGACTAGAACAGGTGTAGCAATATATAACCCCCTGGCCGGCGGATCAGTCAATGCTGTAGAAGGAGGGAGCGCAGAAACTTTTGACAGTTGTGATGGACATACGTCACCTGATGGATCATACCATTACCACAAAATTCCCGATAGTTGCTTATATAATAACACTGTAGATGAACTTATTGGTGTAGCTTTTGATGGATTCCCAATATATGGACCAAATGTATCTGACATATCTGATAGGTGGATAACTTCGGCGGATTTAGACAAATGTCATGGGAGGGAGGTGAACGGCCAATATCGATACCACGTGACCGAACAGTGGCCATATTTTCTTGGATGTTACCACGGCACTGTTTACGCTGATGTTGTAACAGTCACATATGATTGCGATTTGAATAGTAATGGTAAGTGTGTTCATGTTATTCATATAAACAACTACGACAGCAACTAAAATTGTAAAATCACACAATTGGTCAACTTCATAAATGAGGAGAATTAATTAACGTTTATGAGGACTGAAATAAAATGCTCAATATACACTGCACTTTGATTATAAAATTTGGTATTGCATGACCTCTTTTTGCTTCCTTTACCACAATGTCTGTTTCACTGAAAATTTCAATTTATTTACAATAGCCATCTAGACTAACTTCTAGAATTTTGGAAAATAAATTTATTTTTGTCACTTTCAGAAGTTCTTCAACCCCTTTTCAGTATACTCCTACGTAACTGGAAAAGGTACAAATTTGTGTATTATTCATTATTTGACTATCAGTAGTAGCAGTATTTTGGTCAATGGAATATTGTTAAACGGACACCTTTCAAACTCAATAAAGAGGACTCATCCTGCTTTTTCCTTCAATTGCTATTGTTTTATTGTCACTTCAGCATCTTCTCCCTTTTGGAAAAAAATGCATCTAGATGATTAAATTCAGATCAATTTTCACACGAAAAAAAATGTTTTCTATGAGCATATTTAATATGAAAGGATTTGAATAAACGGGTGACATATTTAAAAGAGAAATAAATTTCCATACAAAACTCATAATACAATGTACATCTTGTCCTTTTAAGTAATATTTGGAATTTTCAATCCCATTTTGAGAAATTCTCTACTGACAAATCTATTGGAAGTTATTTATTTACATCACATAGAACTATTGTATTTGATATCAACATCAGAAAGACACACAAGTCATAAATGAAATACTAGAAAATATCTTCATCCATGACTACTGAACATTAATTATATCAACATCCACTCCTTTCAATATAAAGTTTGTATGTACAGTATTGTTAATACTTATATATATAGTTTTACAAAGAATCAAAGTATTATGTTTTAGAAATTTTAAAATATTGCAGATTGGGACACATGGACCTATTACCTGTGTGAGTGTCCAGAAAACGGAGGAGGTGGGGGCGGAGGAGGTGGGGGCGGAGGAGGGGGTGGAGGTGGACTACCTCCACCATATGAGTGTCGCCCAGACAACCCAAATCGTCCTGCAAACTGTCCAAATGGACCACAACCGTCGCAGCAACCAGCAACCACAACTAAAAACAACATGCAAAGTGGACCGATACCATCGCAGCAGCCACTAACCACAATAAGCAACAGTGTAAAAAGTGGTGATGGGAATGCAGGAAGCTGCTTAGGTGTTAATTGGATGTTTTTTATATTCATTGTTTTGAAATCTTTTCAAGCCTTTTTATATACTTGAGTACCCAGTATTCGCTCAATTACAGAACTTAAACTCATAGTAAATTAGAACAGGAAACGCACGGCTATGCTACTCACATGTTGTATGCAAGGATCAGTTAATTCTATCATTGTTTTAACTTTTGTCAAAATGAAATATTCTCTCAGTATGGTTAGTTCAGCAAAAATGAATTCTTTAAAATATAAAAAGGAGGTCACAGTTGCTAACAAATTAAATCTACTGACATTTTACGTAGCGTACACAAGTCCTATTATAGGCGTTAGTTAGTTTGCAAATTTAGTAACTGATCTCTATGTGCCAGATATAGTAAAGATTCAATTTGCTGAGGGAACAACAAAAGGAACTCGAGGTCGATTATTTAGATTGTTATGTAACTTATGTGACCATAACCCAATGTTTGACAAGATTTTAAATAATTTTATTAAAGAATGAACATCGAAAAGGATACACATTTATTTCTACTTTATTTGTAGATCTTCAACTTGTTCATTTGTTCTTTTTCTGTATTCTTCCCAAATTTATAGTTTTAATAATGACCCCTTGGAATGACTAGTCAAATAAATACTTCTTAAACGGACACGACATTACTTGTATTTTTTCAACAATAACATAAACAATACCAATTGTACTACACAAGATGTGCATTTTTTCAATTAATTTCTTTTCAGTGATGCTCGAGGACGAAATAGTTGAGAGTTCAAAACCTAATAAAAATGTAAAAGAGCTGATAAAACTAAAAAGACCAAAAGTAAAGCCAAACCTGGTCAAGGAAACAGAGCTATGCATGAGGGAGATACATTCCTTAATTTAGAATAATTTCGAAATTTTATCACCTTATATTTATATACAACAGTATCCGTATTTTCATTGCATTACTTAAATATAAATGTCTCTCCGGTGATGCTCGAGTTCGGAAATATATTTCGAGTTTGTTTTCTTTTAGAATTTTTGTGATAGTAAAATTCATTGAAAGAGTTCATTTTGAAAACGGGAGTACATGACGTAAGATTGAAATTTGATTTTATTTTAATGATGGCATGTGGTTCTAAAGGTAGTGTTCCTAGTTCACCTTTGGCAAATACACATTACTATAATACGTATACGGTCTTTTTTCGTCTTACCCTCAATTACTAAACTTCATGTATTTGTAACTTTGAAATGTTCGTGTACTTCTAATGGAATTAAAGTTCTCTGTCTTTAAATATGGAATTGATACAATGGCACATTTTTTTGGTCATCTCGGAGAACAACAGACATATCGTACACATTTTATAGTATGCAGATATTGTTTGAAATAATTGTACTCTCCAGGAAGCAAACTTGTTAATGAATGTCCATGAGAAAGCAGATTGAATTATAACAGGACTCAGAATCAATTCCTCAAAATCGAAATTGATTGAGGAACTAGGATGGAAACCTTTTTATAGTAAATGGGCATGCTCCTGACTATCTGTATGACCTTATTCAACCTTATGGGGAAAATGTACATACATATAACATTAGACAACAAGTTTTTATCAAAAGTGGACATATTACACTATAAGATTCATACGACGACAAAACAATAGCATTGACAACCCTTCTAGATATCTATTCAATATGTTTATTTGTTTTTCCTTTTCATTTTATATATTGATTATATGAAAATCTGATAATCTAATGTCGGAATGGTTAAATTTGTCCTCTGGTTGAGGAATAAACAAACATATAACCTAACAATATTAACAGTATTCATCGACTATTTTAGATATAAGTTATCGTATATCTCACACATTAAGATTTTTATTTCATATATTATCTAATAGGATTCATGTTAGCTCTCGTCATAATTTTTTGCCGTAACATATGCATTGATACATCATTATCATATTATGATCCTTGGTAAATATCGCTTGTGTGAGATGCTATTGATGTTATATAATTTGAGTTATTTCCCTTACAATGTATGTGTCTTTGTACACATGTATGAGGGGTCATGTATATTTGCCATATGTTAACATTACTTGTTGCTGTGTATTGGAGAGCATGTATGTGGGCTTTAGATTGCTAACCAATCCATTTTAGTTATTTATGAATAAAACATGCTTAAACTAATCATGAGCAGTTAAAAAATCTCACTTGAAATTGATGTGTTACTTATTTGTTGTCGCGTTATTTAAAGTGCTTTGTATGTTGGGTTTTTTGCAATTTACAAGTCAAATTTATAAGGATTTATTCTGTTGTGATGGAACGACATTTCCTAACCAATTCATTGACTCCTGAAGGGAAAATTCATTTAAATGTGTATATTAAAAAGCTAACAATTTATTAGCTTTATAAATAATATGACCATTATAGCCAAATGCTTTGGCTGTTTCTGTATACTGCCATAGGATTTATTGTACGTTTGGGATTTTTAATGATGCAATACCTTATTAACTGAAGGGATCAGACGGAATATTATCTACTGAATTTTGAAACATTAATCAAATGAAGTAACCGTTTAAAAATAACTGTTCAAACATTGGTAGTATAATAGATTTTCACTCATTTACATAACATATTTGATAATAGAATCTATTTAATTCTAATAGATAATTAATACTCAGCATGAAAATACTCATCAAAGAGGGACGAAAGATACCAGAGGGACAGTCAAACTCATAGATCGAAAACAAACTGACAACGCCATGGCCAAAAATAAAAAGACAAACAGACAAATAATAGTACAGATGACACAACATAGAAAACTAAAGACTAAGCAACACGAACCCCACCAAAAACTGGGGGTGATCTCAGGTGCTCCGGAAGGGTAAGCAGATCCTGCTCCACATGTGGCACCCATCGTGTTGCTTATGTCATTACAAATCCGGTAAATAGTCTAATCCGGTAGGTCACATTCGTGAAAAGGGAAGGGTATTGTAGTTACGACATAAGGAACATATCCGATATCATCTGTGAAACGGTTATTCCATAACGGTCAACCAACTCGTGATGTCGTCCGTAAAATTTACGAAGGGATGATTTCAACTTCACCATTTGGAGCTCTTGGTTTAATAGCTTCCTCGTGAGCAGCAATCCTCTATCAAGGAAATCATGATAGGAAATACAATCCCGGGAATATCGTATCAATTGGGAGATATATACTACGCATGCAGGCGCTGCTGGAATGTTGCTACATAGAAATGGAAAGTTCACAATTGGGAAGCTGAAATCATCTCTTTTGTCGTAAAGTTTTGTTTTCAAGCGACCCTCATTGTCAATTTCTAGATGTAAGTCAAGATATGAGGCAGACTTTACTGTATCTGTAGTATCCTTTATCTCTAGTTCGATGGGATAGATTCGTTCAACATAGTCAATAAATTTGTATTATTTAGTGAGAGAACATCATCTATATAGCGGAACGTAAAGTTAAAGGATATTGCTAACTTCTTATCTTTCTTCCTAAGAAATTCCTGTATGAAGTCAGCCTCATAATAATAAAGAAACAAGTCGGCAAGAAGAGGGGCACAATTGGTTCCCATTGGAATTCCGATAGTCTGTTGAAAAACACGTCCTCCAAACGTAACAAATATATTGTCAATCAAGAAATCAAGCATCTTGATAATGTCAGTTTCAGAGAATTTTTGTTTGAATCAGAGTGATTCTTTACAAAGTAGGATTTATCCCTCCCCAAGACAAGATACTTGTATCTACGTTCGCCATTCTTTTTAATGAAACAAAGTAATACCAACTCTTTCAATTTGTCTTTTAGTTTGGAATGGGGAATACTTGTGTAAAGTGCAGAAAAGTCAAATGTTTTAATACTATTGCAAGACGAGAGAGTCTTAGATTGTATGTACTCTTAAAGATCTTTGGAATTTTTTAGTATCCATATCTGATTCAAGATTCCATGGCGCTCGGAACACAATAGTTAGAAGGTCAACACAAATATGAAGTTGAAGAGCATGGGAAACAGAAAATGCCGAAAAGTTATGCGTATTAAAGCTAAGGCCAAATATGAATAGGGGATAAAAGATAACTACGTGTTTCGCATAATTCTAAATTTTGTAAGACGAAATTGACAATGAAAAGTATAAATGCTGCAATTTAAACAAACATTAATTCTTTTCTATAACATTAGTGTGAACAATTTTATGATATAACGTTTCAACTTATTTTATAGGATCTGCTTACTCTTCCGGAGCTCTTGAGATCATCCCCGGTTTTGGTGGTTTTCGTGTTGCTCAGTCTTTAGTATTCTATTTTGTTCTTTGTGTACTTTATGTCTTTTCGTCGTTTTTCGTTTTTTGCCATGGCATTGTCAGTTGTTTGTTTTTGACTTATCAATTTGGTATCGATCGCCTCACTTTTAAACATTATTGATCTCCATTATGACAAAGCAATTTTTCACGTCACTCGTCTCTGTGAAATAAGTGTGCTCTTACATTACAACGCAGAGTTACCAGAATAAGGGAGTGACTGAGCAGAGTTATATAGGCACAAGAAAGTATGACAACTTATATTATCATGGAGTTCCATGCATTTGGAGATTTGAGGGAGATTTAAAAACTTGTCAGGGCTAAACATCTAGATAGAAGATTAATAATGGTCCGGGTATTCGATAAAGTAATCAAAGATCATACCATCATTTATTTACATTCAAGATCTTGTAACTATCTTGGAAAACAAAGGAGATATTATTTCCTTTTTTTTTAAATTTGATTTATCTATTGCGTACAGCTTTAATTCAGATTGCAATAATATAAAAAAAAGTGTTCTTTTATAATGTCAGATTGGTTAAGAGATTGTAAATTGTATAGAGTGAATTGTACTGTTACTGACAAATGGATGTTCTGGTGATAAACTGTACCTCCAACAGTATAGGTTGGATGGTTAGATTCGTATTAACTAAAGAGAACTACCGCTTAACTTAATCCTAAAAGACAGAAATCTAATTCAAGGAGTATTGAAAAGAAAAAATGTATTTCATGGATATTTTGTCAAAACTGTCCTTATAATGGCAATGGAAACCATACATAAAGGAATTGAACTACAAAAAAAAAAAAAAAACATTTAACCCGTTTAAAAACTAGCTATATAAACTTCTAAAAAGGAAAAATGTATGAATTTGTTTGATAACAATAAAATATTCCATTTGTCGTTATGGCAATCACGTCATTCATTTCTCGCTAGTAAATCGACTTTAACTTTCAACTTCATTATTATATAAAATAACAAAAGTAAAAAAAAAAAATGCTGTCGAATTGTTGGGGTATCTGCATTTCAGATTGTTACATGTGAACACTCCCGTAAGAGCAACTGAAGATACTACTTTATAAAAAAAACATGGGCCATTCTGGGATATATAATGCATACAAATAAATGCTTGGCACACACACAAGACACATTTACAGGGCCTTATTAGTTTAGACATGTATGGGTTTTTGATTCGTGGAACACTACCTAACCTTGCATTTGTACCTGAGTAATATTGCTTAGGCGAAGATAAGTTCAGTAGAACACACATGTCTCATAAAAACTACCGCACAAGTATAGTATTCAAATGTCTGGTCAAGGTCTTGTAAGTCGACGTCATTTGGAAATGAATGATTCTGA